TGCCCATGGAGGCCAGAAGAATTCCCCCTGGAATTAGAGTTATAAACAGTTGTTAGCTGCCATGTGGATGCTAGGAACCAAAGCTGGGTCCTATGTAGGAGCAGCCAGTGCTCTTACCACTGAGTCACCCTCCATGGGCTAGCATTATCAATAAGGTTCTTTCACAGCCCTTGCCAACTCTGAAATTCCAGAATTAGATATTTATAACAGTTCTTAGGTAGAGAGCAGCATAGTAGGTTTCTAATCCCAATGCATTTCTCAGTGGACTCTCCTTTTGGGATGCTGTGTGAAGCTCATGTTCCTGAGGGCTCCTCCCACACCTCCAGCTCAGGTCTCATTGGTTGCTTGAGGGACTGGGATCTGAAGGAGCTGTGATTTATATCTCCAGACCATGAAATTTGAAGACAAAATACTACATTAATACTGTTCCCTGTAAATCTTTTCTCGCATTAGCAGCCTTCTGGCACAGTTGCCAACAAGGCATTGCCAATGTGCTGATGGAGCTAAAGTCAGAAGAGAAGATTAGGAACCCAACCACACTAATAAATTTCATTTGAGGCTGTTGGAAAATAGACTGCTGTTTTGACATTTTAGAAACAATACACACATCCAGCTTTTGTTTTGAATGGTTAAAATGAATTTCTAGGACCCAAAAGAAACATCTTATATTAGAAACCTGATTTTTCTGCTGAGTTACCCAGATGTCAAACACATACTCACTGAACTTTAAGTGTGATTGTGGCGAGGTGCCGTAACTGGCATGGTAGCTGTAGGCCTCATTAAGCTGTGTTATCCTTCTCCCTCTCAGGACCAGGTATGAAAAGGATTATTGGAATTCCCCCCTCTGAGACTTTTCACTGTCCCACAATTCATGACATCTCCAGAAAGAATCTTTATACAAAACTGAGGGTATCAAGGTCACATCTGTAGTGGGCTTCAGATTATAACCCAGAGCCACCTGTATTTTCTTATAAAGCTGGAGTAGACTAAGAAGAAGAATGATTCTTACCCTCTGCCTCCCTGAATGCCAACATCTGGCTCAGGTCTTAGGAATGGATGTGTAGTTTGTTTCATTCTTACTGAAGTAGAATTCTTCATTTAATATAAGGGAGCTTATTGTCTCTGATTATATTACTTTAATTTTTCTTACTGCCCCTGGCCTCTGACCTTGCCAGATGCCCTTCAGTTGCCTTTAGAACTTCTTACTCTTTGAACTCTGCTGTTTATTTTTAAAGCCACACCACCTGTCTGCAGAATTTGGTCCATGCTCCTTAGTGAGGCCTGAGTGTAAGATGCAGTGTGGTAACCAGGTGAGCTGATGTGCAGGGGCCATACTGCATGAGTGAACCAGGCTTCCCATCGCCAGTCAGATGTCCTGCAGCTCCCTTGAAGTCAGCCCTGTTTCCTTCATCGATTGACAGATACTAAAAATGATAATGTGCACTAAATAAGATTGTCATGTCAATTAATTTGTGTTAATTTGCATGTAACACATGTAATACCTGGTATGTAGTAAATGCCCTGAATAATACCATTATTATTGTTAGATCTGTGTTCAGCTGCAGCCTCTAGTCATCTTGCTGACTCTGAATGGACCATAGTCTTAAGACTTCAGTGTGTTTGCACCACATCATTCTTGCCTTCCATTCTCTTCTCCGGGGAGCTTGGGCTGACTCCTAGAATCTCAGCGCAAATAGGTCTGCTCCTTTGATGCATTTCTCCCTCCTGCAGGCACAATAACTGGTTCCCTCTGCTAAACTCTTTTAGTAATTTGATGCCCGGCACCCTCGGTACTCATCAAACTGTTAGTTGTTTTGTCCCCTTTCTAGTACCTAGAGACAAGTAGTCTTCCTTTTCTATAAACTGAGACATTTTTAGGGGAATGTACCTACCTCCTTATGCTCAGCCCACTTCATTCCAGCACCAGGCACGGGCAAAGTCTCTGGGAAGATGTTTGCTCCATGAAGAAATATTTCCCTCTCTATTTTAATCTTAAACACAGGGTTTTCTGTTTCGTTTAGTTATGCCATTCACAGTACATCACTAAATTCATAGGATGGACAAATTTTAGTAGGCTCCAAGGCTGACTGAAGTTGTTGTATCTAACAATGCAGTCATTTGACTCTGGGCTATTTTGTATTAGTCATTTAAAATACTGCCACCAGGTAGTTACAGAGACAAGAGATCATCCTCCAGATCAGTGCATTCAGCCCATTCAGGTTTGCTCTACAATTTAATGATGAGAAAAGTACATTTTGGGAGTAGAGATTTAAGATAATAAGAATTAGTTTAAGCAGCATTTGCCCACATTTTCCTAGGAGAAATTAATGTATCTTCACCGGGTGATAGCGAAGCCTTTCTTCTCATTGTAAGTGGCTTCTTCAGAGGTTGATAGCAAGTGCATTTTAGGTGGTGGCAGCCACGCTGAGAATGAAAGAAAGCGCCAGGCTATGGCTCTGTCTTCCCACTTCCTTCCTGTGCTGCTTTGGGTCATCTAGAGTATAAAGAACAGAGCAGCGCCCAGGCTAGCAAGTCCACAGGGAAGCTTTGAGTAAAAGTGCACATATGAGCAGTAAAGGTCAAAATCTTGTGGAGATCTAAGACGGGGAATTACCCTGAAGCCTATCTCAGTGGGCCCAGAAGGCAGTCCAGCCCTCTCTGTGCCTTCCACAGGCTGTCTCCAGATCATGTTTTCTCTTTTGGTGTCCCCATACCTTATGCTGCACATTCTCTTCTTTCCACCAACCCGCTTGCTTTGCCTGTTTGTAGTTTCTGCCTCCTTGTGGCATTAAGGCATGCCTAGTTTCCAACTGGCCATTTTCCCTGCACAATGGGTGGAATCTTCTCATTCCTGCCACTGCTGATGGGCTACTTTGCCTCAGCAGACTTTCAGTCGTGTCTCTAGAGAAGGATCCTTGACAAGCCTGTGCATTATCTAGTTAGCAGTAGCCCCCAGAATGAAGTAACCTCTGAAAATACAGCCATCCAAAGGTGTTGTAAGCCTAAATGCCCTAGGATACTGACAGGTTATATCAGGGAACAGCTGATATTGAGTAGAAAAATGCATGTTAATCACATGACAGTTGAAGAGTGTCTGAGGGTATAAACTCCTGAGTGGAAGGACTTAGGTTTGAAATCCTAGCCTCACCATTTATCAGAGCCAATTACTTAACCTCAGTATACCTTAGTTTCCTCTCTCTGGGGTGGTTATAAGGATTAAATGGGTTAATAGAGTACTTCAAATGGTTCCTGGCACATAATAAACATTATATAGGCACGTCTTAAGTTTTCATTAGTGTCAGCTTCCTCATTGTTTAGTTTCACAGTGAAATGGATTTTCTTACCCTTTTCCTAAAACATGAAACTGTTTGGATCTATTTAGTTTCCCCCTTTTGTATAATGATGGGCAAAGAAAAACAAAACAAGAAACAAACTTCTTTCTATTGTGACACTATCAACAAGACAGTAAAAATGAAAACCCACACTGAGCACTGGTCCTTGATGTCTACCTTAGGGTAGGGTGGGGATGTTGGCAAATTGGATGCCTGGATTCTGTCTAAAGGAACGAATGTCACCTGTCTGAAGCGTATGTCAAGAAGAGGCCCAGGGCTGTCAGATTTGTCTGTCTGTCTTTGCAGAGAACTTGAATTATGCTTGAAAACTCATGCTAGTCAATCAAATACACCTATGGGTTGGAGACATACAGCCCACAGGCTATAAACTCTGGCTTCAGGCCTGCTCCTTTAAGAAGATGTGTGAGTAAGGCGGTTCTCTCAGCAGAGGAACTTGTGTAGATGATTTAGAAGTTACGCCTTCAGACTAAGGTAACACTATGGAGTCTTAAGGAGAGCAGGATTGCACATGTTGCTGGAACAGCCAGTGAATGGTTCCAAGAAAGATGTTTTTGTCTTTTTTACTTATTTCTTTCCCTAGAAAGAGCAAATTTAAATTGCTTTTTTGTTTTTTACGTATATGAGAAACTGTTTTAATTGATTTTCTTGCCAGCGTCCACACTTCCTCCTTAAGCTGGGAATCTTGGCAGGTTTCCGTTCAGCAGAATGTGGCCCTAATAGAATTCTTTGTGTGTTACCCCCATACCTCTTTCTATAGGCTTCCTCAGCTCTACCCAGTTTTTCATGCTAAAAACCAAGCAGCTTCACTTTGTCCCAGTTGTTCTCTCCCTGTGTCCTTTCCTGAGGCATGCCTGTATGTGCACATGTATACACACACGGGAGTGGGGAGGTAATAGTTGTCCTGCTTCCACATAGTGGCTGGACTGGTATTTTAAAAATATGAATTAGCACATTGTTCTTCTGCTTCAAATACTTGTTTCTCATGTAACTGGGAATAAGTAAGGCTCAGGGCTCAGCTCCTGTCCTGTGATGTGGCTGTAACATCTGGTGCCCACCTGTGCCTCTCTCCCCTGGTCTGCTCCTCCTGGGCCAGGCCAACATTCTCCCTCATTCTTTAGCATATAAGTCTTCCCTCTCATGTTTTCCCTGCCCCTTCTGTTCCACTTCTTGAAATGTATTTTCTCCAATTGTCAGTTTCCCAGAAAGTCCTCTCTCTTCATAAGACCGTGATCTTATTTTTTGGTGCTCATCATTAAGTTATAAAGTTGTTCTTTGACTGAACTATGAACAGATAGAAAGTATGAGAAAAGTATTAAAATATATGTATATTAAAATCTACTGATGGAGGAGGCAGAGGGAAGAAGCAAACTTCTTTGAGATAATGAGATTTCCTGTGTTACTAATACTGTTGACTTACCCAATGTGCAAACGATTCAGAATGGGGAAGGGAATTTACTTGGGGCTGATGTGGCTGTTAGAAGTCAGTACTTAAACATTCCATTTCAAGTATTCTCATTAAAGGTAATAGCAGAAAATTGCAGCAACGATTGCCCTAGTTTTTAAGTGGTGATGCCCTCTGCAGAGCTGTTGATTTGTTTAGTTAATGCTAATTTAGTTAATATACTCCTGCTTCTTGTTGATTTTTAGGTTTGCTGCCACAGTTATTGGGAGTTGCCCCAGAGAAGGCCATAAAACTTACAGTAAGTCTTTGAATCGAGGCTTCTTATTAAGGGAATTTACACATACTCCACAATCTCCACAATCTGGCAGGTATTCTGTGAATCAGCAGGTTTGTGGTGCTAACTCAGAGGTGCTAACTAAATTGATGGCCAGGGCAGTCAGCGCACATAGCTTCTCTTATTCTCCATATAACACTAAGTATCCTAAGTATCCAAAAATGTGATGATGAATTTGGAGAAGATTGTAGGTGGCTTGTGCCATGTCTTTTCTTCTTCTTTATCGTTGTCATCATCATCATCAGCAGCAGCAGCAGCATCTTTGAAGCAGCAATGGCAGGGCAATCCTGCAATATGTACCATATCAGGTACTTGATACATGTCATCTTACCATTTCAATCTAAAGTGTGACCCACTAGGTATGGCAGTGAGGCCCACAGTGTTCAGGTTGTCTCACTGTGGTCACATCATTCATGAGCCAGAGAACTAGAATGCCAAGTCAGGGTTTCTGACTTCAAAGCATGTCCTCTTGTACTTAACCCTGCTGTTTATGGAATGCATTTAGGGTATGTTCTAGGAGCATTTGTTAAAGCCAAGTATTGAGAGCTCTGCATTCCAGTTGAAGTTGAGCCTTCGTCAGACTTTGCCTAATGCTCAGTTCATGTCAACAGGTGGTTGATACTCAGTTTCAGTTTGTGCAGTGGATACCTATTGTGTGTAAACCACCTCAGAGCCCCAGAAAATTGAACTCTAGGTTTAGACTGAACCATGTAACCTTGGTCCCTGAAATTTTTTTTTGTGCCATTTTATGATGTAACTTTGAGATAGCTAATCCCTGGCCTGTATTTGCCAAAACTATACCATTGTTTCTTAAAATTGTTTATAGTACATATCATTTGGAGAATATTCTGTTTAATTAATGCAACTGATATTCTTTGAGAATCCTTGAGGCATTTGTAGATACTGAATAGCTACTAAGTTGAGAAAAGTCTACACAGCCCAAATTGGTTTCAATGAGGAGTTCTATTTTAAATTAAATCTTGTAGGAAGGCTTGATTTTGACTTTTAATTACAGCTTATAAGACAGTTTAAGTTATAAAATATATGTTTTCATTTGTAATATCAATGTCTCCCAGCTCACACTACTATAACCACAGGACATTTAAAAATTTTTGGACTCTTAAGCCATTTTTCTTTTTTTCTCTCTTTCTCTACCACCTCAGGTATGCCTTTTTTTTTTTTTTCTTTTTTATAAACTCCTTGT